TTCTGTATTTTGAACTCGTGACTTGTTTTGATAAAATAAAATTGCCTTTTCAATGTCAGTATTTTTGTATGTTTTAGGTTGTAAACTTGGATTGTTTAAAACTTCACGAGCAATATTAAATTTTATGGTCTTCTTTAATTTTATTTTTAAGAAATAAAATTAAAAAAAAATTTAAAAAAAAAAAAAATTTGTAAAAAAAAATTATTTATAATGTAAAAAAACATCTATTTTTATATCATAATAACATGTGAATTACATAATTCATGTGATTTTTCTTATCACAGACGTTAGTAATTGGAAAATATAATAGTTATTTACTGCTCAATCGCTGACATCATTAGGGTCATGGCTGCGCTGTAACACCTGATGATATCTCTGATTTTGCGGTAAATAACTAATACATATAATATGTGGTTCTGTCGTGTCATGTCGTAATAAAATATAGGAATTGAATAAAATAATAAAATTAATAAAATGCTTTTTGATTGCACTCGACATGTGAATATTATAATTCCGACCAATCATTTTATTCGGCATGTGATTTTTGCTAATATTTTTAGCCAAATCAAACTGACCAATCATTTTACATTAAGTATATCATGTGACTATACTCACCTGATATAAAGACCGACCCCATCCTCCTTTTAAATCAGCTGATTTCTGGCATGCTCCTAAGGCTATAATGAAGATTTTAAGAGATTTGACTGACCAATTCGCTATAATATGAGTATTTTTATTATATTTGTTCAAAAAATTCATTATATTAAGAGTTTGCTATATCTAGAATTGACTGTATTTTAGATTTGGCAAAATGTTTGGACTTTTAGTTTTACTAATTTTTTTTACTATCATTTTTTTTTGATGATAATGAATCATTTAATTAGAATAATATTAAATTATTTAATTAGAATAATAACAAATTATTTTAATTAAATAATAATAAATTTATTCTTCTTGATTAAATGATATTGAATTGTTTTAATTAAATGATAATGAATCATTCTTCTTAAATAATAATAAATTGTTTAATTAAAATAATGATAAATTGTTCTTCTTAAATAATAATAGATTATTCAAGAAAAATGATTCAGTTAAGTTAGATCAGAATAGTTCAAATAAAAATCATTATAATAAATTTGATTAAATATATTATAATAAGAGAATAACTGACTGAAGATCAGTTGATCTAAACAAAATACATGTGATTAAAAGTCACATTATTGTGTTATATTAAATAATAAAATGATAAAATAAAAAATATAAATTAAATAAAGATTACATAAAAAAACCTAAGAGATACTAGTTTTTTTCAATTATTTTTTTTTTATTTAATAAAAATTCTAATTATTCATCTTAAATTTTACGCTGTTTATTAAAATTTATATTTATTTATATAACTTTTAAAGTTCTTTTTAAACTATTGATTTATGTCAAATCTTTAATTAATTTTGAGTAAATACTAATTTTTAGTTATTATAGTTTACTTTTAATATAGTAAATTTTGATATAACAAATTACAATAAATACTAAATATTATATATAAATAAATATAATTATATTGAATTCTTTTTTTATTTAATAAAAATTCTAATTGTTCATTTTGAATTATACAATGTCTATTAAAATTTATATTTATTTGTAAAAGTTTTAAAGCTCTTTTAAACTATTAAATCCTTTATTAATTTTGAGTAAATATTAATTTTCAGTTGTTACAATCTATTTTTGATATAACAAATTTTAATATAAATGGAATTACATGATCTTTAACTAATTAAATATATCAATTTCTCTTTTTATAATAAATTACATGATTTTTAACTAATTAAATATATCAATTTCTCTTTTTATAATAAAACAATTAATCAAAACCTTCAAATTTTTTGCTAATTTACTTTAATAAATTTGAAAAAATAGAACAGTTACTTTATTATATCAAGGGTAAACTGTAATATCATAAAATAACAGTATTAATAATAATTTATTGTATTATTCTTTATATTTTAATATAATTTAATAATATTTAACTTGTAAAATAAAAATTTTCTTTTTAGGATCACAAAACAAAAAGATAGATATTTTAAAAATCCAAATAAAACAAGATATCATCCAATATAAGATTTTAATTATTATTATTTTTACGTTAAGTAATAACTGTATATAACATATCTAAAAATGCAGCTTATAGTATAATAAAAATAATAATATGCCAAACTACCAGATAACCAAACTTCCAGAAGGGATAACCGGGTACCATACGCCCAGAAGGACAGAACTGGAGAAAGAAAACCTACATGAAAGAGGAAATAGAAAAAAAAAATAAATAAAAATAAATAAAATTTAGATAGAAACCCAAAGAGATAGACTGGGAACTTTGCTTGATAGATGAGGCACCATATTTTTTGGGTTGCGATTAGTACTGACGTCCTCGTCGTGCAACCTGGTTACTAGTATTATGCTAGTAGCGAACAAGTACTATTATATTTTCCAGTTCGGTTTCAATTTGGTTCTTGATCTTTGTGAACCCTACATTATTTGTGGGCTCTCTTTGTTCATAATTTTCAATACCAGTAAAGTTTTGCCATTATAACTTGAAAACAATGGATTTTTTTTTTTTTTTGAACAGAAATAATTGTTTGAATATGTTTAATTTCAAATGAGATAAAATAAAGAAATTTCCCGATTTAAAAAAGTTTTATGGAATTAACGTGTTTGTATTAAAATTTCTATTAAAAAATACCATCGTATCCTTTTTTAAACGAGAACCAGATAATTTATTTAAATATTTTCTTAATTGAAAAAATGATAATCTTTATTGAATTATTACTAAATTAATATCTATTGTATAATAAATTATGACATATGAAAAAAAAAAAAGACAAAAGAAAGGAGGAATTTAATCAAATTCTAGTTTGAAAGAAGTATGATATTCTTTGCCAGTTTGTTTGTTCTTTGCCGTGGCTCTGATTTCCATTTCACCGAATCGAAGCGTATACAAGACTGATCTCTTTATACCAAGTTCTGTATCTAAATAAATAAATAAATAAATGTTAGTACAATTTGTAATTTTTAATTTTTTTTCGTTAAAAAATGAAGATTAAATTTACCTGGCATCGCTACACTGAAATTACCAAGTAAATCTACGCCATCTTCGTCACAATATTTTGCAGATCCGTTCCTCGTTACATAAATGTCCATATCCATGCTTGTTTGCTCTGATAATGAGAAAAACCGATTAATTAATATAGCAATTATATATATATATATTTTCGAAATTTTACGCACCTGGCCGTGCAACGCTAAAACTATGAGAAACTACTTCATCAACATCGACGTGTTTTCCTTTTTCTGCCAAAGTAAAGAATTTAAAGATTCTTCCATCAGGCCTTTTACGAGTTTGAGGATCAGCAGAAGTCCAAAGAGGAGAAGTTTTTGTGCCATAAGTATACTTCAATACACGTGATTTGATAATTTTAGTGTTAAGACCATAATCAACGGCACCGCGTACAATAGCAGCCATCGGTTGCCTTGGTACAGAAATGATGGGCACTTGACTTTTAAATTCTTGTTTGACTTTTAATTGTAAATATTTTGATTCACTAAAACCTCCGACTAAAAACATGGCGGTACATCTATCTTTACTAGAACCAAGTTGCTCTTTTATCAGAGAAAGAACTTTGCTTATAATCGGATCAAACATATCTTTAACATTCTTATAAGTTAACTCGATGAGCCAATCTTCCTCTTCTAAATTATCTTTAAATGATCCCATAACATATTGTTTTAAGACTGGACATGCTTCATCTAAATCCAATTCATAAGGTTTGTAAGTTGATTTTTCTCCACTAAATAATAATTTAACATGTTTACAAAATTCTTGTACAAGATATTGAAATTGATTGTAATTATTCTTTCTTAATAATTCTATTGCACTTTCTCCTACTTTGGTTTCAAGGAATTTTATAAATTCTTGATCCACGTACGCGCTACCACAAAAACCTCCCGTCCGTTCCGTTATTTCTCCTAATTTATTTTCGCTAACCACTTTGCGTCTCGTTAAATCCACCGTGCCACCGCCACAATCCACGATCAAGAATGATGCTATCAAGTCAAAATAGCAGGAGAATGAGTTAGATTTTCACAACAAAACCAACAAAAATGAATCTTAACTGATACTTACTTCCTACAGGATTGTCAAAATGCTCTGCTAAAGTTCTCATACAATAAATCGCAGCAGCTTCGGCTAAATAATGAGGGAAAAAAATAAATTTTTTTAGTTAAGAAGTTAACATTCCCATCGAATTGAAAATTTTACTTTCTTACGTTCAGTTGTGAATTGTAAACGAACGGTGTGAAGGTCGCTAATTAATCCTGCGTTAAATAAACATTCCCTCATAATACTCTTGGATTTTTCGGAAAATTCCGCAGGAACCGTTATAACAATTTTAACTTGAGACATAAATTTGATATTCGGCCATCTTGTTGTAACGGTATCTTTTATAAGCTATCGAATATATAATATGTGTATGTGATTTAGCGAGAGTTGGATAATGCATTTAAAACAGTTTTAAGAAATTTAAAAATCCTCACCTTGCCTATTAACGTAAAACCGTATAAAAAAGAAATGATGTTAACATACAACAAAAAAAATATATTATATTGGACAATTAAATTTAAATCACCTATTTCGCGAAGATAATCCGTAATGGCCCTTTTATAACTTAAGCCGGGAGGTAAAACGGGTTTATTTTCTTTGGGTATATCACCTAAATGTAATTTAAATAATTCGATAGGTTTAGGTGGATTGCTGCGGTCCCTCCTTTTCTGACGTTTTGCTAATGCCGGACATCCCCATGCTTCAACCTGATAAAAATTTTCATCATATTGAAGGACCGTATTAGTTTTCAATTGACCAATTTGATCCGGCCATGTGTCGTTCGTTATGATTTCTGGATTTATTTTATTGGCATATGCAAATCCCTATAAGAAAAAAAATAAAGGATTAGGGTCAATCGTAAATGAATGAATAAAGATCATTTTCTTTCTTACTGAATAAGTTGTTCCAAAATCTTTTCGATAAAATCGATTTAAAATGAATAATCGTTAATATTTGTAAATGTCATGGTGTTTAGCTAAATAAAACATTTTTACCTATTCCAACCACTAGACGAGTATCGTCGTAATCCATGTTTTTTTTTAAAAAAAAAAAATAAATAAAATAAAATAAAAATACAAAATAAAAAAATAAAAAAAAAGATGTTTTATTTTGATTAAAAATGAAATACCTTTTTATATTTATATTTTTGAAATTCGTATTACATTCACATTTTTTGTTTGTCAAAATAAAAAAATTTTATGATGTGCCCATAAATAGAATATTCGGAGAAATTTGACTTATTCATCACGTACTTGTGAAAGTTTAAATTTGGATAAATGAAATCACATTATAATGCTTATCACGGTAAAAACACAAATGGACCCCTTTTTTAAGGATCAACTTAACTCGAAAAGTGTATAAAAAGAAGGCCTTAGCCTTCAAAGTGGGACAAATTCATGCATACCTTTTAGAGAATATGACGGATAATCGTGTTGTAGTTGCTATAGGTATGAAAATCATTTTGACTTAAAATTATGTGAAAATTTATTTATCTAATATAAAAAAAAATCTTTTTTACGATCAGATTTTGGAACCACCTTTTCCGTAAGTTACTCTATCACATTGATAGAATTTAATCTTTTTATAATTACAAACCTGTGAAAACAATCAATTAGGGATTCGCATATGCTAACCGAACGACCCCAGAAATTATTACAAATGATATTTGGCCACAACAAATTGGTCCATTGAAAACCAACACGGTTCTTCAATATGATGAAAATTATCGAAATGTCCTTAAATGGGGAAATCCCGCTTTGGCTCAAAGACAATCTCGTAGAAATAAGAACTCGAATGCTTCAAAACCTGTGGAACTTTTTAAACTTCATTTAGGAAATATTTCTCAAAGTGAAAAGCCCCCACTTCCTTATCAATTAAGTCATGAAAAAGCAATAACCGATTATTTACGTGAATTAGGTAAATCGATAAATTTGAAATACATGAATGATTGCAATTCCTGATTATCCTTCTGATGTTTAAACCTTAACATGATGTAGGCAAGGTAAACAGTTCATTTTAATCATTTAAATTTTTTTCTTCTTTGAATCTTGGATTTATTTACCTTTATGTTAAATAGACGATTAAGGAAACAGTTGCTTCTCGATGGTATGGGTTAGATTTTTTTGAGAACGTTTTTCTCGTCATAAGTATTCCGGCCGAGTTCGATGATTTTGCAAAAGATACTATGAGAAAATGCCTTTATGGTGCCGGTTTGACAGCTAGTAAGGAATCAAAAAAAGTTGAATTTACAACTGAACGTAAGTTTTAAAATAAAATTTTGTTATGTTAATTTTGACATCTTCCAAATTATATATTCCATTTGATGTTGTATACCTCGGCTCATTATTTGCTGAAGCTGCTTCAATTTACTGTATGCGAAACCTCAAAGAACATAAGAATGCATTAATCCCAGTTAATGGTTTGTAATTAACTTTTTTAAAGTGGGGAATAATCATCATGAAGAATATTTACATTATCATCTATCTTTCTTTATTTGAGAATAGCGTCATTTATGGTGGTTGATTGTGGAGGTGGAACTGTGGACCTCACGACACGTAAACTGTTAAATGATGAAAAGCTAAGTGAAATCACTGAACGGACTGGAGATTTTTGTGGTGGAACTTATGTCGATAGAGAATTTCTTAAATTCCTCGGTCGTAAACTTGGCGAATCAACTATAAATCTTCTTAGAGATAATAATTATGGTCAAATGCAATTTTTGGTACAACATTTTGTCAAAAAGTAAAATTTCATTTCACGGGAAATTTAAATGAATTTGATCCTTATGAACTTGATATTGAAGAAGTTTGTCCCATATTAAAACAATATTGCAAAGATGATGTCAAAGAAGAGATGGAAGATAATGAATGGATTATTGATGTAAATTTTGAAGATTTGAAATCCATGTTCGATCCTGTGGTCGGAAAAATTATTAGATTAATTCGTGGGCAGCTCAACTCTAGTCAGAGTAAATGTTCTGCTATGTTCATTGTCGGAGGATTTAGTGAGTCAAAATACTTACAAATGAGGGTTAGACAAGAATTCAAGGAATTGGTTCCTGCTATTATTGTACCAAAACAACCTATCGCGGCTATTGTTCGTGGTGCTTGCGATTAAGGACTCAAAATGAGTACGATTGTAGATCGTACCTTAAAACATACATATGGAATTCGGGTTTTAAGAGATTTTAAAGATGGAGATCCAGAAAGTCAGATATACGACAAGAAAAATACTTATAGGTTTAGTCAACTTGTTTCGCGAGGAACAAAAGTGGATGTTGATCAAGAATTTTCCCATATTTATTGTCCCCGTTTTGCAAATGCAACTTCCATGAGGTTTCTAATATATATTACAACAGAATTAAGTGGCGAATTTTGTGATGAACCTGGTATGAAACGTCATGGAACATTACGAATAGATTTACCAGATGTGCATCTTGGAAAAATGCGTAACGTAGAGCTTTCGTTAATATTTGGAAAAATGGAACTTGTCGCCAAAGCAAAAAATTTACAAAATGGAAAAATTTATGAAACTAGCTTTGATTTATTGTTATAATTTAAATATAACCTTTTTTTTTGAACAATAAAATAAAGCCACGAATGTTTTAAGATAATTTATCTAAAAGGTCACATTTCGTTTGAAAATACGCAAAAGTTTAACTACTCGTTGAGTTTATTAATTGATATCCAAGTCAATATACATATATTTTAAATAATAATAAAATAACTAAACTGATTCTAAAAACAAACGAATCTAGAGTATTTTTAAAATATGAATAATCCGTCGAATTATTAGAAACCATTAGAATCATGATTTCCCAAACATGTTTTTGAGCTTATTCGATATGGTGGCTTGTTCAGCTTTAGGTGGTTTAATTGCAATGATTTTTGCAGGAACAAGGACTTTACGATCTTTTTCTGAATTCAAGCTTACACCTATTAAAGGGAAACTACATAAATTTACAGTATAATCTTCATGATCATCATCTTCTAAATTTCCTATTTCCATTGTTGTTGGATCTATTTTTGCACCGTTGTCGATCCATTCGATTTCACCTGGTGGCTCTAAAACTTTTATACGGAAAATAAACATTTTGATGACGTTTCTAATGATTTCCGCTGCCAACTCTTCATTTTCTTTTCTTTTATCATCTTTTTTTATTGTACGAAGGCCGTTCATTATTTCAATAATTTCTATTTTGAGTTCCTGAACGAACTCATGTTCCTTACCATCATTGTCTAAACAAAATCCACGATCCCCAAGCACCGCCGTGACAAGTTGTCTTATTTTTGTTGGAGCCGCGGTACTTACTTCGTCCGTGCCTTTTCGAGTATAGATCAATTGCTTTATTGTTGTTAAATAATTAAACGTGGAATTGATAACTTCTAATTCAATATGTTTGTTCTTTTCATCAGGGGTTAATTCCTTTTTTAAATATTCTTCAGTTTTCTTTATGATAGTTTCGATTATATAACGTTGTAAGGCAGCTTTAAGAAGAACCTTGTCTCCAGGTTCTTCTATATTACATTTATACTTTTCCAAAAGCACCGTTAATTGTTGCTCATTTATGTCAACTCCTCCCTTTAATTTACAGAAAATACTGATAGAATCTTGTATGATTTCGATATCTTTTGTAAGCTGAGTAGGGTTATTAGCATCATTATCACCCAAACGATAATTCTTAGCATCTCCTAAAGCTGATTGATATTGGGAAGCTTCTTCTCTTAATGCATCGTTCGTTTGAGATAGCTTATTATATTCCTTTCTTTTATTATTCAATTGCTCGTTTAAATGATCATAATTTTCTCTCCAGTTCGCTAGAGCCTTTTCATATCTCGTTTTTTGAGCTTCGTATTCTTTATTAAAAAGGACAACGTTATTATTATGCTCTGTTAAAAGTTTGTTATAATCGGTTTTATGTTTATCACATTCCTGCTTCAAAGATTTAATTTCTCTTTCGCTTTTATCCTTAAAAGATTTAAATTCTTTAATGTAACCATCTTTTTCATCCTTCAAAGTTTTAATTTCTTTTTTTAAAGATTTGATTTCTTTAGATTCTGCTTTATCATTATTAGGTTCGTTAGTTGGATTGGGAATTTGCTCAGGTCCCTCGGATGATGATTCTAGATTTTGAGCCGGATCCGGAAGAGGTTTGTTGCATATTTCATAAAAAGCATCCCTTTTACTATTTTGCTGGACTTGCTTCATTTCTTGTCCTTTAGGTCTATTCGCATCAATCTCAGAGTTTTGAACTGAATTTGCGTTATTCGCGTGAAGAGTTAATTTGTTTATAAACTCTTGAATAGATTCAAATAAATCTTGATTTGCAATTTCTGGTTTATTATGAAAATGTTCATACATAATTTTTTTAATTTCCCTTAAAGTTATCTTATTTTCAACAGAAGGGATGTTATCCCCAGTATGCATCATCTTAATTAATTGTTGAAAAAAAAAAATAATAATTTCTTTTTTTTCACGAAAACAAAAATTTTATAAGATCTATAAAAAAAAAAAAGTATAAAGCGGAACAGAGGTTACTTCCGCATGTCATATAGTATACTGTCTAATTTATACATCTCTTTATATTTTGTGGATGTGTAAATTTGGTAATTGATTGATTAATTGATTGATAAACAACAATATTTGTCAAAAAAAAAAAAAAAAAAGGGTCATCAGATTGTTTAAAATATCGTTATCACAAAAACAAAAATTACTCATTATGATATTACCAATTAAGGAAAAATCAGTTGTGATAACTGAAGTTTTCTTGATGTGAATTTTTCTATACGAAACGTTCGTGATGGTTAAGGTATTGAAGATCCGACGGAATTCAAATTCCGCCCACCGAAATTTTTAGTTTTGTGTTATCATGTGTAGCTCTTTCAACGTCACCCGGTGAGATTGAATTCTTGTCTTCCAACGAGAAAAGTGCAAATAATTATTTCATTCACCTTTGGAAATATTATAATAAGCAATTTGGCATAAAAATATTTATCGCTTTTAAACCAGTTAAATGTAAACTACTTTGTTCTAAATATAAAAAAGTAACGCTATCGATGTAACGTGATGCCATCTATTTTTATTACTGATTTACATAAGGGATACAAAACATTAAAAATTAAAATGTGATAAATAAAGAAAAAGTGATTTGAATATTTGAGTACAATTAATTGCACTAGGACAGTTTTGATGGGTTCATTGAAAGTAAATCAAATATATAAATACATAAAATATAATATTTATAATTCTTTTTATTCTTAAATTTACTTATTTATTTTTTTTTTTTAATTTTTTTTTAATTTATTTTTTTTTTTGAACCTCTTACTTGATTATCTTTTATCAAAAAAAAAAAATTCGAATAATGAGCTGGAAAAACGATATTCGTGTTGTTATTTCGATTGGTAAGTAATGATAAAATCGGGATTTTTTATTTTTTTGTTTTTATCAAAAAAAAAATGATTTTTAGGAAATCACTAACAAATCGATTTCTAGATTTTGGCACCACGTACTCTGTAAGTTTATGGTCGGATTCTTTAACATTAACGAATTTGCGGCACAAAACCGTTAAAGGGATGCGGTCTTTAAACTAATGAACTTTCGTTTTCCTTTTAATCCTTTACACGCAAAATCTCAGGGATTTGCCTATTCTAACAAAATAAATCCGGAAATTATAACAAACGATACGTGGCCGGAACAAATCGGTCAATTGAAAACAAATACAGTCTTACAATATGATAAAAATTTCAAAAATGTCGAGGAATGGGGATACCCTGCATTAGCAAAAAAACCGAGAAGGAATAAAGGGAAATCAAAGAATCAACCTGTTCCGAAACCTGTCGAACATTTTAAATTACATCTAGGTAGCATGCCTGATAATGATAAACCATTATTACCTAAAGGGTTAAATCATAAGAAAGCGATCACCGATTATTTAAAATCCATGGGTAAGTTTTGAAGGAAAGAAAATATATATTTTTATAAAGATAAACATCATGAATCGTTAATCCTATAATTTTTTTTTTTTTTTTTTTTCCTTTTCTTGTCTAATTGAAATTTACAGGAAAAGTAAGTATTTTTTTTTTTTGCATCAAATTTAAAAAATTTTTTTTTTTTTTTATTAAGCAAAAAAAAAATAATTTTTTTCAAATTTTGTTAATTCGATAAAAAAAAAAGTTGATTAAAGATACAATAAATACTCGATGGCCAAACATAAAGTTCATGGATCAAGCTTTAATTATATTAACGGTTCCAGCAGAATTCACCGATCAAGCAAAAGCAATATTGAGAGATTGTATTTATAATGCTGAATTAATTAAAACAAAGACCTCCGAAAAGTTACAATTTTCTACTGAACGTAAGCTTTATTTCAAAATTAGCGTCGTCTTTTAAAAAATAATATAAGTCCCGTATTTATTTATTTTGTTTAATAATAATAATATTATTATTTCCTTCAATTCATAGCCGAGGCAGCCGGTAAGTTTCGACTAAATTCATCAGTTCATTACGTTCTTCGAATCTATCTAATTTTTATTTATTTTATTTAATAATCACAAAATAAAATAAAAAAGCCGTACATTGTATGAAAGTATTAAAAGAGCATCTTTTAGATATCGTCGGAAGTAAGTAAATTTATTTTGGATGATTCTGTTTTAAATGTTTGTTTTAATCTCGACACAAGGATATAAACAATTTTTGCCTTATTTAATCAGCGAACTTCTTGATTGTCGATTGTGGGGGTGGCACAGTAGATTTAACCACACGACAGTTATTATCTAATGAAAGATTGGGTGAAAAAACAATTCGAACGGGTGGATTTTGTGGAGGAATTTATGTTGATAGAGGATTCCTTGCGTTTATAGGAGAGAAAGTTGGACCCTCTGTAATGCAAATACTTCAAGAAAGTCATTATGGACAACTGCAATATATGGTTCAAGAATTCTGTAAGAAAGTCAAATTATTATTTACAGGATACCGAGAGGATTACAAAACTTTTGATATGGACTTGGACGAAGTTTGTCCAGTTGTAAAACAATATGTTACCGGTTCAAAATTAGATAAATTGGAAGAGGACGAATGGATCGTCGAACTAAAATTTGAAGATGTTAAAAAAATGTTTGATCCCGTAATTAAAAAGATTCTTAAGTTAATACGTGATCAACTGAATCGAGGTGGTTCGATTTCTGCCATGTTTTTGGTGGGAGGTTTTAGTGAATCGAAATATTTACAAAAAAGAATTCGTGAAGAATTCTCGGACGAAGTTAGGAATATTTCCGTGCCTCCTCAGCCAATGGCTGCCATCGTTAGAGGAGGTAATTATAAAAAAATGGGTTCAAGTTTTTTACATATCGCAATTTTTTTTTTGTTTTTATTGATGAGTTCATTCCAAATTTTCAACAGCGCTTGAGTATGGTCTTAATATGCAGAAAATTAAATCCAGAACGTTACCCTTGACTTATGGTATTGAATTGGCACCACTCTGGTATGAAACATTTTTTATTTCTTTAAATTTTAAGAGGGGAAAAAAAAATTGATCTTTTATTTTAAAACTTGTAGGAAAGAAGGTGATCCACCAGAAAGAAAACAAACACATGGTAGAATTTTTGTTTTCCGACGCTTAGTGTCAAAAGGCATCGAAGTTGACGTTGATCAAGAATTTGGATTAGAATTACACCCTAGCTTTCAAAATCAAATAGAAATTTCAATCGAGGTATACGCGACCACCGCAATTGAAGCAAAATTTTGCGATGAACCTGGGATGAAAAAGATCGGGGAATTAAGATTAGATTTTCCGGACCCACATCTTGGTTTCCACAGAAAAATAACATTTACCTTAACATTTGGTCAAATGGAAATTCGGGCTTACGCGAGAAATCAGTTAGGCCAATCGACAAATGCCAATTTTGAACTTGAACTTTAGAATAAAGTTTTTTTTTCCTTTCCCTTTTTGATATATATATATATTTATGCATTTATAGATAACTAATTTTCATTATATTATTTTTCTTCCTCCTGTTTAAATCATTCCTTTTTTTTTTCTTTTGAAAATAAAAATCATATCCATAACATTTTAAAAGGGCTTTGCAAACTAAATTTAAAGCATTAAAAAAAAAAATCCCATTCGCTAATGTAGAACGAAAGTATGTTTAATAAAAACAAAAACGCAAGTTATCTTATAAACGTTCATATGTGAAATATTCTCTGATAAGTTGAATTTATCATTTTTTAAACGTCAAATTGATCGGTTAATAAATAATAGACTTCCGATTTTATTCCCGAAGTTATCGTGTAAAGAGAGGTCATATAACAAACGTTGCCAATATTATTTATTATTCAAGAACCATATTTATTGTATCTAGCTTAAAAGAAGTATAATCAAATTTTGGTATGGTCCTTGACAAAAACAAATCCGCTTTATGATATATCTTAACGTTGAAGAATGACAAAAAAATTAATTCCAGCAGGATTCAGCTAAAGCAATAATGAAAGTTTATATATATATATATTATGAACTTTGAAAAATCACAAACATAAAAGCTTTATTCGAAACTAACGTCTTTATTTCCTAAAAATCAAAATTCGCGTTGAAACATTTTTTTAATTTTATATAACCGAACCGGCTGGTAAAAAAAAAAAACCAAATCCATTATCAGTTATTATTTATCTTTTATGCTAACAATGACTTAAACAGATGTTGAAAGCTAAGCAATTTTTTTTTGTCATTATTTTTTTTTAAAAAAGAAAATAAACATTGCAGTGATCAAGAATCTATGCGTTCCAAATATTTAATTACCAAAGATGATATTGTGATGAAGAAGTTGTAAAGAAATTAGTAGTTTGTTTTGAATTACTACTTTGAAAACCCTAAGCAAGTTGATTTTGGACTAAGCTTTTCCGAAAATGGAAATCATAGCATATGCGAGGAATAATTGGAATTGTAATTAAAAAAAGTTTTACGTGTTCAAAAGCGGATTTAGATTTTTGCAAATGAATCATTTATTAATTCCTGCCAAAATTCACGGAATATTTGGCCCCCCTCCTAGATAAGAAATGAAGATTTTGGAATCCTAGAATATATTGTATAAAAAATTTTATTTAAATATAAAAGGAATTCAAAGATATAGACCACAACCTCTTTATGCATTTTCATGATAAATTATTAATTTGTCTTTAAGAAAACGCGTTCATGTATAAAGTTCGCGACAGGTAAATAAATAAACTGTATATAAAAAAATAATAGAGAGAAAATCAAAAAATTTTGGTCAAAAAATAATTCTTGGGCAACTATCCGAGAAATCTTTTCTTTTTATTCAGTAAATTTATTGATTTAATACATGTAAAGATCTCAACTGCTGTTTTTCCCTCCAATCTTTTCCTTTAACGTATACTAAAACTATAAGGCTGATACTTATCAAGTTGATAAAGGATAA